ACTCTAGAAAATCGGCGAGTAGACGATAACTCTAGGTTTGACGCCTGCGCAAAGCGGTCTATTTCAGAGAAAAATGGCGACATTCGACGAAGACGAAGCCGAGATGCTAGAAAATCTGAAATATTTAGATTATATAGATCGTATGGAACGAAGAAGTCGGCGGATTATTTCTCCAAGAAGAAATGACCTCGAACAATTGGACGATTACGACTTTCTATGTCGATATCGTTTGCCAAAAGAGAGCGTAAGAAACCTATTAGAACGAATTGGTTTCCTCCTCCTGTTTTAAATAATTCGGCTTTTTTTGTGCCTGTTCTTTCACGGCTTTCTTTTTTAAATTCTTATAACAGTCCAATAACTGTTTGGTTTTTCTAAGGGTGACACCCGGGATACCATTGAATTCCTTTGTTAGTTCTTCCTATGTGCCTCTCTTCTGTTTCGCAAGAAATCGCATTTGTTTTCTTGTTTTCAATGATCGATTTATATTTTTCGACTAATTCAAGTAGAATTTCCTTTTCAAAATTAGAAAAATTACGGCGTGCACTGCTTTCCATTTCACTTTCCGCCATTTTCTACACGTGTTTCTATTCTATTCTATTCGTCTCCTCCCTGGTTCATATACGTGTTTGCTTTCAACCAATCAAAACTCTGCTTACGAAAGAAGACTTGTTTAATCTCGAACGCAGGATTGTTTTAAAATATTAACTCTAGAGTAGCGAAACTCTAGAGTTAAATTTTTATCTGAATACGAAAGAAGAGTAACTCGTAATCTGACTTCGAGTTACATCTAAACTCGAGTTCGTCAACTCTCTGTTTAACTCGTGTTGGTGAATACGGGGGTTAGTGTGCGTTTTCGTGACATACCCTAACTGTGTACCAAATTTCAGCTTCCAACTCCTAACCGTTTGGGCTCTGCACTTATTATTATTATGTTCTTGTAAGTTCTTGTAAATTATTATTATTATTACATGTGTTCTTGTAAGTTCAAACAATTTCCATTTAGTTATTAATAAATAGAATATTATATTGTATTTAAAAATAAAGGAAAACTTTTTATGAAATCAAAACTTTATACGGTAGAACCCCGATTATCTCAGCCCCATTAACTAAGGTTTCGCATTACCCGAGACAAATCTACAAGCGATTATACTATATTTGGTATACTGTAATTCCTAAAATTAAGTTTAAAATGGTAATATGCATTACAGAATGATATATTCTGTTACGTTTTATTCATATCATATTATATCATATTTTAAGATTAAAATATGATGAAAAATTGCAGCCCGGCATAGTGAGATTGTCACAATAAATAATTATCCACAAAGAAATAGACTTTACTTCAAATTTTCTCGCAGGAATATAAACAATTTAATTATAAATGAACATTTATAAAATCCAGCGATTACATTATTATAAATAAAAATGATGGCTCATCCCTTAAAGCTGACTTTGCAGTGAAGCCAACAATTATTTTCTCTACAGAAAGAATCAATAATCTAAAAACTTCACTCTGGTTATCTGAAAACCTCTTTAGATATAAATTTTATTAGGAATGAATTTTATTCTGGGATTCTGGGATTGAAGAACTTTAATATTCAGTAAGAAATTTAAGTAACAAAAAACTTAAACTATAAAAGATATACAGTAGAATACATATAACTGAAACAATTAACGTATAAGTACACTGCTATAAACAATAGAAACGCAATTGTAATCAATATGCAGATGACAATTGCCTAGAACTCTGCCTGTTCTAGGCAATTGTTTACGAACCGTTGTCTATTGATCGGATTCTAGATTATCTTTTATATTTACGTAAAATAATGTCACGCATTTTATAAATATACGTTCTAAATTCATTGTGTCCAATCACGTAACTCACGTTTATACTATTCTTATTAATATATTTCAATATAACATTTAAATCGCATACCCATTTTACTCTGTTGCTTTTAAATCTAACATCAAATTTATAATGTTACTATTGAAACTCTAGTTCACTTATTGATAAGGAACGACGAGAAGTTACGAAGCTCGAAATAAAGCACAATTGCCATAAAATTATATTTGATAAAAATACATTAGACCATGAACGACAATTGATTATCAATTTTAACTTGCAGAGATGTTTTCAATTGTTTTTGAATTTTTTGTTAATTTCCTTTGTGCAATTCGGTGTTTTTGAAGTGTTCTTCTGCTAAGGAGAGTGTCTGCCGGCAGGATTTTCTATGAGAAACTTATACCTCTTCAGGTGTTAGACACGTGAAGAAAATCCGAAAAACTCCCGTGTACCAGCAATGTTCTTTCTAACTCTTTTAAAGCTGAGCAGAAAAAAAGCTAAAACAATGCTGAACTATTTTAGAATAATATAAAGTTTAATATTTTAAATAAATATGAATTTATCGAAAAATTCACTGTATACCAATTATTTATTATATAATAAATATATCTTTACGAAGAGATACACACTGTAAAAGAAAATTAACTACAAATTATTTTTGAAAAAATGTCATTAATTACGAAAATAAATAAATTTAGCACTTTTGTAATAATTTATTTAATAAAATTTATATATTATATTCAGTATTTTAAATATGTTTTATGTGAATAAGTGTACAAAAATCACACATCGAGCGATAAATTTTTTATAGAATTGATCCTAACGATAAACTGACATCAATAATAAATCACTCGACCATATAAGATGTATTATTGTATTGTATTAATACAATAAACATTTGCGTGATCTCATAATTTTTAAATTAAAAAAAATTATACTTTGATTTTGATTTTTTAAATTAAAATATAATTAAAAATTAAGGCATGGATTTGTGACGATGTCATAACAAGTAATAGAAATTTTTATTAAACTTTTTTACTTTTATAATTATGCGTGTATCATGTGCGACAGGAATACCATTAATTAAACAATTAATACAAAAATATCATAAAGTACTCAGTAAATCACTATACATATAACTAACACCTTATCCTTGCCGAGAAATATAATTTATTTCAAACAAACGTTTTCAGCCTGATTCACAGGCCATCTTCAGGTTGAGAACCAAATTTGAATTAAAGGAATATCATCCATTAATGGAATACGAAATTCAAAAATTCAAAATTAAATAGGCAACAGAATAAGATAAAATAAAACATAAAAAATTAAATAATTTTATTCATTATAATAATATCAATAATAACTATTGATTAATAATAATTAATCAATAATAATTCATTAGATATTTGGAGTATTCCGGCCTTTCTATATTTTTACCCGTACAGCCCGTGTTGTAGGAATTAAACTTACAATAAATAAATAAAAAAAACAATAATTATTATAGAGATTAATTTATTTTCAATTATAATTATTAAAAGTAAGTTTTAATTAATTTAAATTATTATTTAAAATATAAAACAAGAATACTAAGTTCATTAAGCATTATTAAATATAAGACAAGAGTAAAAACTCGCCTGGTTCATTATCTTCTGTTAAAATAGCAAAAGCATCCCATTTATAATATTTTAATATATGTATTAAGGCGTGATTCTGAAAGGTATCCGGCGGTGACATTTTCAAAAGTGTAGACGACGATTGGTTCAACATCGGAATTAAAGATAACATCGGGTCTGTAGCCAAGATACTTATCTGCGGTATTCCCAATTGGCCACACACAGTTTGGGCAATTTTCGAATGTAAAGACGTTAGAGGTCCGACTATCGATATCACTCGTTGATCCACTAAATTGTACACTTAAAAACAATATCAGCATTAAATGTTATTAATAAAATGATTTAATAAATCTAATTTAAATTTACCGGCTCTAATAAGTTCTAATTGTGTAGAAGCATTCTCCGTAATCGGAATGAGTTTCGTATTGGGTAATAAATTCGAATCTGAATTTATATTGTTTATAGCTAACCGAAATGTTTCTTCTAATATAGGAAGAGAAGACGGGAAAATGGCACCTGAAATGAAAATAAAAAGTAGATATTTAAATTATATTAAAGAAAATCTATAAGAGAATAAATTGAAGTGAGTAGATTACTATTATAATACTATCTACTATATTATCTATATCATTAATTAATATCTCTCACAATCTTACCGATAGCAACTTCAACTGGCACATCACCAACAGCAGAACAGAATAAGATTAGTATTACCAATCCAGATCTTCTCATAGTTAATTAATTTTACATCTTAATGAATCCACGTGTAGATTCTACTAGATTTAACGATATAAAACTTCTACAGAAATCGTGCATAGTGATCCATCGATGTACTGTGTAGCTACTGACGAACTAGTTTCGTGAGGCTCGAAACATTTATCTTTATAAATCAATTTTCTGTTTATTGTTCGCTTCTTCATCATAATTTCGCTCTTAATATTAATATCACAGTTATTCAATAAACTTCATTTCTATTTTAGGTTTTAGTTTTTTTACATGCGTTGATCACGAATAACTTATACATTATTTATGTATGCATTGAAATTATAATATTTTTCTGCATATATATCAATGTCGTGTTATTTTATATTAATTTTTAAAAAATATTCACGATTAAATTTATCAATCCACAGTATAAAGTTTAATCTTCTTTTGTTTTCTTTTACGTTAATGTAAAATTACGAAAAATTATATTTTTTCTTTCTTTTCCGACTTTAGGATAATAAAGTTTAATATTTCAAGTTCTTATAAATTAAAATATAACTTATCAAGTAAATAAATTATGAAGTTGACGCATAATTGTTGATCACACTACACAGTGTTTAAGCAATAAATAAGAATAACGACACGGTTTCAGATTATCAAAAAAGTTAGAAATGTTATTATTCGTGCATTAATTTAATTGAAAGGAATGCTAAAATATGTATGTGCCTACTTACTTAGTTGTTTTTTTTAATTGCATTATAACATAATTAAATAACAAAGTAAAATTATTAAATTAAATGCTATAGCTAAGTCGTAAGTTATACAGTATATTATTAGAAATTTATGTCACTACAACATAGGGAGCCTATTGTATTTCAAGTCGACAGTGTTAGTTGTCTTTCATTACAGTAACAGATGAGAATGTCTTTTTACACAAATAGGTTGTTGCAAATGGTATTAATGGCTTCTTCACTCGGCACTCGGTACTCACTTTTTACGATGAGTCAAAAACGATGTCTTGATCAGGACGAGTGGAATTTATCTTTGAGACTCTCGATGGATTATAAGTCGATTAGGAACATTTGAACACGAAAGAAAAATAATGCCTAATCATTAGGTTTTCATTTTCTTTCGTGTTAAAATTGCAATTTTCAATTTTTGCCAAATTGGATCTATTACCCCCTTATTACCATGTCTGGGGTTATCTTCCTTTCGGTAATAACGACGAAAAGATTTTGTGACTAACCGTAAATGCTATAGTACAATGGTTATTACCTGTTAATTCACATTCCCCTCTTGCATATACTTGTAAGGAGGGCGCNTTCTTCATCATAATTTCGCTCTTAATATTAATATCACAGTTATTCAATAAACTTCATTTCTATTTTAGGTTTTAGTTTTTTTACATGCGTTGATCACGAATAACTTATACATTATTTATGTATGCATTGAAATTATAATATTTTTCTGCATATATATCAATGTCGTGTTATTTTATATTAATTTTTAAAAAATATTCACGATTAAATTTATCAATCCACAGTATAAAGTTTAATCTTCTTTTGTTTTCTTTTACGTTAATGTAAAATTACGAAAAATTATATTTTTTTTCTTTCTTTTCCGACTTTAGGATAATAAAGTTTAATATTTCAAGTTCTTATAAATTAAAATATAACTTATCAAGTAAATAAATTATGAAGTTGACGCATAATTGTTGATCACACTACACAGTGTTTAAGCAATAAATAAGAATAACGACACGGTTTCAGATTATCAAAAAAGTTAGAAATGTTATTATTCGTGCATTAATTTAATTGAAAGGAATGCTAAAATATGTATGTGCCTACTTACTTAGTTGTTTTTTTTAATTGCATTATAACATAATTAAATAACAAAGTAAAATTATTAAATTAAATGCTATAGCTAAGTCGTAAGTTATACAGTATATTATTAGAAATTTATGTCACTACAACATAGGGAGCCTATTGTATTTCAAGTCGACAGTGTTAGTTGTCTTTCATTACAGTAACAGATGAGAATGTCTTTTTACACAAATAGGTTGTTGCAAATGGTATTAATGGCTTCTTCACTCGGCACTCGGTACTCACTTTTTACGATGAGTCAAAAACGATGTCTTGATCAGGACGAGTGGAATTTATCTTTGAGACTCTCGATGGATTATAAGTCGATTAGGAACATTTGAACACGAAAGAAAAATAATGCCTAATCATTAGGTTTTCATTTTCTTTCGTGTTAAAATTGCAATTTTCAATTTTTGCCAAATTGGATCTATTACCCCCTTATTACCATGTCTGGGGTTATCTTCCTTTCGGTAATAACGACGAAAAGATTTTGTGACTAACCGTAAATGCTATAGTACAATGGTTATTACCTGTTAATTCACATTCCCCTCTTGCATATACTTGTAAGGAGGGCGCCCTTGGGGAGATACCACCCGTGAGGATTGTCCCCCCTTTAAGGACGCGGTGTACCCGAATCTAAACTCGCACGGAGGTCGCCCTTAAGGTGAAAGGTTACGACCCTCGCTTTGCCCGTGATCTGTCAGGATGACACGAGAAAGCCTTTTCCGTATGGGGGTCGCGGTTTGCTGGACGCAAAGACTCACACAGAGACCGTATTTACCAATTCAACGCGTTTATTTGATGGGAAATTATGCTTACAATTGGTACACTAACGTCGGATCTTCGATAGGAGTCCGTCACAGGCAGTTCGTCGAATAGTCCGTTGTTCTTGTTGTTCCTTGAGGTAGGTTCGTCGGATAGTCCGTTGTTCGGTGAGGTAAGTCGTCACACACACCAAAATCACAGGAGGAGAAAGTTCGTCTCCTCAACCGACTTTTGGAGGTAGCGGGATGTCTCGCTGATACCGGGAACTTGAATCCCTAGTCCTCTTCGGAAAATCTCTAGGCTGATCCGACCTCGGGGACTGTTGTTGGTCCTCTTCACAGCGTCTCAACCTCCCAACCTCCTCGTGTCCTTGAGGCCTCGGACTTTTATAATCTTTTCTCACCCGACATCCCGAGATTTTGGTTGGTCCGAATGTTGGTTCTCTGCGACTCTATTGGTCCCTGGTCTGTTGCCAGGGACACGATTCGGGCCGAGGGGTCGCCGAAATGACCCCCGTCCGGGCCGTTCCCCTCCGGAGTCGGGTCAAGCCCATTCCCGGATGACGGTCCCGTAAATTGTCACCTAATGTCTATTTTTCTGTCCCGGAGAGGAGGAAGCTGTCTCAGCCGCCGCCCCCTCCACAAGAGTGTCAGCAGGACCTGCTTTGAACTCTCTGTAAGGTGACCGTCCAAAGTCTCCCCGAGGGTCGATCCCTCGATCGTTCGCACGATTGACGATCGTGGATCTGTCAATTAGGCCTGGAATGAGACAATTAAACCGTCTCGCACCCCGTTCCTTGGTCACACCGGTCCTATTTACGTAATAAGTCACCGATATATTGACTTTAGCTCGACAGCCGGTTTCCGTCCCAGGGGAGTGTGTGGTCCCGGCCTCACATACTGGTACTCATCAAGATTCGGGAACATTTGCAAAATTTGCCACAGTAATATTTTCTTTTGAAGTGCATCTATTATACCTCGCAGTTTGAACACGTTCGTAAGCTTGCAAAGACGTGTTTAACCCGTTAAACAGTGAAAAAATATTTGCCAGTATGAAAACTTGGCTAGCCAACAAGAGATTTTGGAATTTCGAATTATTTTGCTGCTGGAAGAATAACTTGACTTCTTGGCACAGGTCAAACAATCTGATTAGTATTTTGCCCCTCGACAGCTAACTTGAAGAAGAAGATGAGTATATTGAGAGCTGATTTCCTCACAAAGTGCCTCAAATATTCGAGAATTGAGCGCTTTGTGCCAAATTTCATTTACAACATTAATTACATCAGAGAGTATTTCGTGCAGTTGTTCAGACATTCTTTTCACCGTAGGTTTCTGACGATTTATAATACACGGAGTAAATGAGTTGTATGTGTGTCGAGCATTCTTCACTTTTGTAACAATTCCTGAACGATGCCCAGCCAAGCTTGCGGTACCGTCTGTGTATATTCCAACACATTTCTTATATTTAATACCGTGTCTCAGGAAAAAACCATTGATATCATCGAAAATCTGAGAAGCGGTTGTTCTACCCGGCATGTTGAGTGAACATAGGAGTTCTTCCTTTAACTCTTCTTGATAATCAAACCTCACAAAGCAAAGAAGAACTTTCTTAGTTAGTTATGTCTATTGATTCGTCGAGTGGAATTGAAAACAGCATTGAATTTTTCACAATATCAATTACAATATCCTCGGCCATATCTTCAATTCTGGTTTTAACAGTGTTAGCGAACGTAGGAATTACTTTCAGTTTCTGGACAGCCTGTTATCTCAAAACCTCGTCACTGGCTTATAACAAGCAAGGCTTGATTAATTCTTCTCCAATAGTTTACGGCTTTTTATTTTCGCGATATAAAAAGTGCTATCAAATAAGAAGCCGTTACTAAGGATCTTCAACAGTCATTTTTGCTAATGAATTTATTTTCTTTTGCATATTTTCACGCATCTTTTAGTTTCTTAGCTAAAACTGGGTGTTTTGACTACAAGTGCCTGTCGAATTTCGCTGTAATCACTTTGCGGAGAAACTTTAGCTGGAGCACAAACAGAGCCAGCTGTAAACTCTCGAAATTCTTTTTAATTAAAGATGAAATGTTTCTCTTGTTCCTCTAACAAGTAAAATCATGAAAGACTTTATATAATTTCATGATTTTACTTGTTAGAGGAATCCAATTTGATTGTGGTCGAACTCAAATTTCTTTAAGTTGTCTTAGGAAACTAAAGAGACAAGATTTATATACTAATAACTCACTAAGTAAGGACAACAATAATGTCGAGACACAACACCAGAGGAGGGGCCGAGAACAAACGATGACTCTATTTCTTCATTCCATGTTTTTCTCGCCGGTGGATGAAGAAAACATAGATCGTTCATCATTACATACGAATGTGTTGCTGAAGTTTTTCG